AATCTATTAGAGATGCGTAAGTGCAATTTCACTAACAGATTCGCTTATCACTCCACATCATCATCATCATAATAATATCATATACATTACCTACCATGATATCATTGATTATTACTACCACTTCGCTAATCCCCCCACCCCCCCGCCCCTCCACGAAACTCTCGGAGGAGAGATGGCAGCGGCTAGTCGCTACGGTAACCGCTCCGCCGCATCTCTCGCTGCGCAGATTCGTCGTTGATCTCGGTGAACTCGGCGCACCGGCTGCTGTACGCCATCGCTAAGATCGAGGACTACGACCTCGTCGCGAAGCAGACGGGCGAGAGCCGCGTCATACTGAGCGGCATCGAGGCGCGGCTGAAGGAACGCATGAAGCTGCTCATGCCCAAGGACTACAAGGTACGATCGGTCTGTCGGCGTGGCGCGGGTGCACGCGTGTGTGTCCCGCATCGATGCTACGCGCAGGCGCGGCTGTTGCTTATTCTGCTTTTGTTTCTTCTGTTTCTTGTTGTTCTCCGTTTTCTTCTTCTTCGACTTGTGTTTTTTCTGCTCTTTGTTTTCCTTCCCATTCTTCATCGTCGTGATCTTTTCCTTTTTGTTGTTGTTGTTCGTCCTCTTCTTATTAGCTCATCTGACGTAGTCAGATGCAGCTTGTAGAATCGCATGATCGTGCGTGCGTCCGTCCAGGCATCCGTGCGTCCGTTCGTCAACAGTTGGGCACAAATCTTAACCGCTCGACATACGGTCACGATATTCGGGACATCGGGGGGGGATCGTGAAAAGGACTCGGGATGACAAATTTGGGGGTCAGGGTCAAAGGTCAAGATGTGTCAACGGAGGGGAAATATTTCCCCTTTAACTTAAGGTATAGGAGGTAATACGCAATTGCGGCACAAATCTGAATTGGTTCGACCTATGCTCTTAATATTCGGTGTATAGTGTGATGGGCAAGAAACCCATCACCAGTGCGAAATTGGAGGTCACAGGTCAAAGGGCAGTGGGGGAAAGGTCAGATATCAGACATTTGCTGAGGACATGGCCTAATGGACAGAGTGAAAAACTTTTTCGTTTCAGCGCTGACGTCACCTAGCATTTTTATCACTTTATTGAAAGGACCATGAAATGTGCTTTCCACTGACGTGTGAAGAGTAAGTGTCTGATAACCCTTTGACCCTCAAGAGGAGGGTTAAACATGGATTCATGAACTGCCTCAATGACGTCACAGTGTTGTCATATTCATGGCACATCCATAATCTAGAAACCCAATAAGCCTGGATAGCCAAACACGTAGAGCACGGCCGTCACAGCTGAAAGGTCGTTGGATCGAATCCCATCTGATTTTTTATTATTTACCTGTTTTCTGTATTTTTCTATCTTTATCCATTTAACTATTTTTTTCCAATTAATGCAAATATTTACATGATTTATTTACAACAATTTAATAACAACATAATTTTTACAACAATTAATTGTTGTTGTTTTTTAATAGGGTTAGGGTTAATGTCACAATGCACCATAAAACAGGAGTTTCAGGCACGCGATTTGTATTAACCAATGGGATTTGGGAGGTATGCAGAATGCAGAAGGTTGCTGAAATGATGTGTACGCAACTGCATATCTGCATATCTGCGCCTAACAAAGGTGTCACTACACATGACTTAAATGTTACGTTTATAACCGTAGCAACAGACCTCAGATGAGCCCAGACGCTCTGCGGCTCTTGTTCTTCTTCCTTTTCTTCTTCTTCTTTTTCTTCTTCTTTTCCTTCTGATTCTTCGTCATTGTCATCTTCTTTTCCTACCTCCTGTTATTGTTGTTGTTATTCTTCTTATTCCCCTTCCCCTTCTTCGTCGTTGTCTTCGTCTTCTTCTAATTCTTCTCCTTATTCTTCGACTGATCACCGAGCGCACGCGTGTAACTACGTTTGAGACCAGCACTCGAGCGAGCGTACGCGCGTACGACTGTCTTGGGTTTCGTTCTCGCTTCTTCGCGCCGCACAGAGCCTGGAGTTCATCACGCTGAAGGGCATCTCGATCAGCGTGTCTCAGCTCGCGCACTACCTCGGCGAGTGCAACAACCGCCTGCGACTCTTCTGGACGACGGAGCTGCCGTCGCGCGAACTCGGCGGCGAGCCGCCCTACCACCGCATACTAGCCGACGAGGTGAGTGGCGCCCTCGCGCGGGCGGCGCGCACGGTCGCGGCGCCCCCTGGGTTCGTGCTGCATGTTTGCGCGTCGATCAGGATGATCGCTGCGTGCGGGTTTTTGTTTTATCTTGTGATGAGCGTGAGATGTGCGTAAGCGGGGGTTGGTTGTTCGCGACTTGTGCGTTGTTATGTTATTTTCTATTCGTGTTCACCGTTTAGTATTTCTCCGTGTCATAGTATACTGCGGTGTTTCGCTACTGCAGTCAATGATGCGTCTTTCGGTGGAGTGCGGAGAGTCTGTGACGACGTCGCTTGAAGTCGTGCGTCGATGTTGCGCTGGTTGTACACGTATCGATGCTCACATCTCGTTTTCGTTGCAGAACATGAGTCTGAGAGATACGATAAACAAGCAGAGTCACAAGCTGTCCTCCCAGGAGAAGCTGCTGGGCAACGCTCTCGGAAAGCTTGAGGTGCGGTCTGCGTGTCTGCGTCTCTCTACTTGTGTTTACAAAAATCTCTCCGTATCCATTATAGGAATCCTGTTGCTACTGATCTTGTCGGTGCCGTGAATCTTTCCAGCAACATAAAGCTCTACCCGTGTAGTATTAGTCCTTTGCTTCTGGCCATAATAAAAATATTGTTTGTTTGCGCTCACCCGACCGAACCGCCAAAAAGGAACCGACTCAACAAATTTTATTGATCTTTTTTTTTTTGCTTTTTTTATTGTTGTTTATTTTATTCTTTTGTCGGTACTTTATTTTTTGTACGCAGCACAACCATTCTTCATCATAGGTGTTTTCTCTCCAGCAGCCCCGCGGATGTTGTCGCCATGCTGCTTTTTTTGTTAGACGTCTTCTTCAAAAGCCTCCTTCCTTCCCCAACTTTTTCGGCTTGGTTGGGTTGGGGGCAACCAATTTTTTTTTAATTGTGGCCTTACTGTCTCCGGTAGAGCGAAGGGCTACATGGGTAGAGCTAAGCTACATAATGCACTCTATTTTATTAATATTATATGATGCCTATGTGCCAGGTAATAGGTCTATCTGCCGATATGCCATTACCGATACTTGGATCGATGTTCCTATGTCGTAAATCACGTTCGTAACTTTCCATCGCCCAGTGAATTATTCAACGCTTTATACGGCCTTCTTGTTTGCACGTCGTTCGTTCCCGTTCGCTGACCAAGCTCCCTAGGTGGCGCCGCTGTTTGCAGCGCCGCGATCGGCAGCCACATCCATCATGGATCGCTCATCGGCGTCTGTGAGCGTCGTTTCGCTGCTGTAGAGGGTTTGTAGTGTTGGCAGGTTGCCAGCAGGTGTATCCGTGCATGCGCTCACTTGTTATGTGATAACCACCGTTGATTTTTAGGGGGAATAGGCTAGTGGGCTTTTACACGTTTTGGCCAGTGAAGACTGGGATATTTCTGCTCCTAGCATGCGCTGTCCGGTTTCGTTTCACGAACGCCACATTCGTTTTTTGGCTCGGTTATATTTTGAGTTTGAAAGCTCGCGTTCCTGCCCCCACGTACATCCGCTCAGCCATCACTCTGCAGCTACAGCTGCCGCAAGCGCCAATTTTAAATGACCAAAACCAAATGGTCGAGGCGAACCACAGAACAGTACGTGATCTGTGTGGATTGTCTGCACTGACTAATTATGCGACTGCCCTCACAGACGCAGTTTCGAAGAAGAGAGGTGGTGCAATTTCTGAGCAATGCAGCCCGATTTGTCGCGCACACAGTAACATGCTGTGTTGCGTAACTTCTCGGCCGACGCCCACCGACGCCGCACTAGCGTTGTTGAAACACGCTTCGATCTCTTGGGGGTAGAAGCAATTAGTAGATGCCCTTGGCTGTCTCCCCGCGTCGCTACCGCTGCGCGGCCGATCGAGCGGCATACGGCGCGTTTGTTTGGGACGAATCCGTCTGATCGAGATCATGTGATCCTGATCCGACCAAACAAACGCAAAACTCACTTTCACCGGTTCACGTTTTTCTGTGACCTATCACGGGATGGTTCATAACAAAGAACAAGCTGTGATTGGCTGAGGCGCGGGCCGCCATATTGGATCCCGTTCGAATCCGCCTCACTAGCAGGGTCGGGTTCGGTGGATCGAGATCAAGTGATCCGACCAAACAAACAGTCAGATCAACGAATCCATCGGATCGAGATCCGTGGATCCGACCAAACAAACGCGCCTATAAGTCGCTGCACATGTGCTGGCAGGAACGCACGCTTTCTCGTTTGCCGCTACGCATTTATTTATTTCGTTATTTTACACACTGTGTTCTTTGTGCCCACACAGGCGAGCACGCGTGTCAAGGCTGGGATGGAGGAGGCCATTATCAAGCAACGTAAGTCTTCGCCGTGGCTGCGCTCACTGCGGCTTCGCTCCGCCCGGCTGTCCTGTAACCGCGTTAATATGTATCAACCCTCTCTTGGTCTCCACCTCGTATAACCATGTCCTCGCTCTGTCAACTCTAATGCACCCACCTATACAGCCCCTCTGTTTCTCTCTCTCTCTCTCTCTCTGATCATTTTACAGCTTTTATTGGTAGGCGTAGTAATTCGTTTTGGAGCAGATATCTCTGTCGATCGCGATCAAGCGTTGCCGCTGCTGCTGCTATTCACTAGTTACTTCTGTCGAGTAAAAACACTGGGGGGTGGTAATTGTTTTTATGTACGTGTAACTTTTACTGTCAGAATAAAAAGAGTCGACGTGAATATACTGACACTCTACCAGCGTAGTTTATTTTAGTATGAAAGCTGTGTGACCCTGTGTTGCACATGCAAACCAAACCCACGCTTCTTGTAATCGAAATCCTAGTTCCATGATAAGCTGCCTCGCACACCAGATCTTCAAACTAATTGTGTTCATGATGCCGGGACTCACTGTACAGTGGGTTGTCTAACGAATCAATTACCACGTTGATGCGTGTATCTCTGCATCCCCGTGTCACTCTGACCCACATTAATTCGCTCTCTGCATTAGAATAGGATTATTAACGCATTGCTTGTTACGTTTTCAGTGACAAAGACGCACAAAGTTCTGAAAAAGGCAAAAAGCAATTTGGAGTACCGTTCCCAGCCATCCTAGGAGTCCAGTCATGCGATCCAATCTACAAAGTACCAGCTGTAGTTTTATCAGTTGTAGCAGCCTGGTTGCAGGAATGTTTATCAGTTGTAGCAGCCTGGTCGCAGAAATGTTTATCAGTTGTAGCAGCCTGGTTGCAGAAATGTTTATTAGTTGTAGCAGCCTGGTCGCAGAAATGTTTATCAGTTGTAGCAGTCTGGTTGCAGAAGTGTTTATCAGTTGCAGCAGCCTGGTTGCCTGAAAGTTTTATCAGTTGTTGCAGTCTGGTTGCAGAAATGTTTATCAGTTGCAGCAGCCTGGTTGCAGAAATGTTTATCAGTTGCAGCAGCCTGGTTGCAGAATTGTTTATCAGTTGCAGCAGCCTGGTTGCAGAATTGTTTATCAGTTGCAGCAGCCTGGTTGCAGAATTGTTTATCAGTTGCAGAAGCCTGGTCGCAGCACCGTGCCGTATTTCTGTCCTCAGGAACAAATCGGTCGCTGCCTCTAACAGGAGTGACAAGTCTTCCTTCCTACGTGTTGTCACGGCCTAGCCATTGTGCCTCTTGTTTGGTAGGGGGCGCCACTGCTGTACACTTCTCGGGTCGCCCCTAGCAACTGGTGTCCTGTATTGCGCAGCCGATCATTTTAAAAGAAAAGCAACGTTTAATGTAATACATATATTAACGTTTAACAGTTTAATTTGTGTGCTTGTGAGTTCGAGAGTGCACGTGTGTGTGCAAATTTGTATGCATGCGTGCGTGTATGCATGCGTGCGTGTGTTCGTATAGATGTGAGCACGGTGGTGATTCGTGCGTGCGTTCGTGCGTGCGTGCGTGCGTGCGTTCATCCGTATGTTCATACTATGTATGTTCACGTCAGTGAATTTTTAACTAATTATTTCTATATTTCTTTAACGTTTTCTTCGTTATTCTTCGTTCTGTATGCTACGTGTGTTTCATTAGTAACCCCTAATTTCCACCCGCGAGAGTGAGATTGAGAGAGAGAGAGAGAGAGAGAGAGAGAGAGTATATAAGGCGCTATTGTTTGTTAGCTGCTGGCTCGTAGAGTTGCTGCTGCGTTTGCGGTGACCAGGACACCTCCAGCCTGTAGTGTTTTTTTCTATGTTTGGTGATATTCCCTAAATTGCTCGGTTTATCCAGATTTTATATATATATATAAGGTTTACATGTTTGTTGTGACAAGCCACATTAGTTCTTACGTTTCATTCAGTCTTAGCGGTTGATATTAATCAGAGGACGTGTAGTGTGTAACTGATTTGGGGGGTGGGGTGCTATGCGTTTGTGGGTACCGTACATATTGGGAGGGTGTGGGGGTATATTATACTCAGCACGTGCCAAAGACCACGCGGGGTCGGTTGGTTATCTCACGGTCTCTCTCGCTGCACACAGGATAGGTTTTCTTTCCTATTGCACTCCAGTGTCGAGGCCTCCTAGTTTTCTATGCAGTCATTCATTCATTGTATTCTCGTGTAAATATTAGTGGCTACTAGCTAGATTAGAGTACCGAAATGGGAGCATGATGATGATATGTATATATATATATATGTGTGTGTGTATAATATATATATATATATATATATACATACATACATACATACATATATATATATAAGCGCCAGTAGCTTTCGTGTGTCACTCGTGAACTCTCCTTGCTCCATGCACGCATCATTTGATATGACGTTGTGAGAAGCACGTGTGTAGGCGTGAGGTTTTGTTAGCTTACGAAAGACAACGGTAAGTGTTTAATGTGAAAGTAACGAATGATGTACACGAAAGGCTGCGAATTGTAGCAAAATTAGTTTTACTGTACGAATGCAGCGTGTTCGCCTTCTAACATTAGACTGTATGTATAGACATTGAAAATGTGTGATTGTCTGCCAATAAATATATCACTACCTTTCACTTGTTACGAATAAAGTCCGCTGTTCCACGTTTCTTTCGTCTGTGACTCTTTGTGGAGCTCGGTTCATCCACGACGGTATAAATGGGTGGTGGCATAACGTTATTATATCATACGTTTACTTATATTACGGATACAATGCTACGTTTCAGTGTGGGAACGTCGGCAAGTTCTGTTATCACGCGAAAATACGATTAATGGGTGCCTACGGCAATCAATAATTTTCCGTCAAAACCAGAAACAAGTGAGTGTTATTCGCAGCATAACAGGTTTATCTCACGCGAACATGTTGGCGCCCTTTCTCTGGCATCTCTTGGATTGTGTTTTATGTGTATATTTTATTGAAGCGTGATATCCTGGTTTACCTCACCACATGCTAGCCTGTAATAAGTGCATTATGGTACCGATGCAAATATTATTGTCAGTGCACCTATTTATTAATAAAACAAACTTTTACAAAGTAATCATACCGGTTTAATGCAAGGCACAGATAATACAGGATGTTAGCATGCAACGTGACATTAGATATCGTGGGAAAGAGGCTTGGTGGTAAACAACGGGGTGGGGTGACCATGATTCTTACTTTATCAATCCAGTGTTAGAGTAACTAATTGTTAAGCACGTACAATTACCAACCTAAGAGGTATTGGTATGGTTCAGGACACGTGACCTTTCAACATCAAATAATTCTACTGATTACCAATACCAACGAATTAATTTAATACCGTAACTACAGGGCTATGTATATATATATAATTGATAGTGTTGAGTCTCTTATAATCTCGTAGTCGGTGTTTCGTGAAATTGAACGAATCTATCTTTCAATCTACCTAACTATATATCTTTCTATCTATCTATCTATCTGTCTGGCTGGCTAGCTAGCTATCTATCTATCCAGCTACCTATCTAACTATCCACCCAGTTATCTATCTACCTATCCATCTATCTACCTATCCTTCTATCTACCTATCCATCTATCTACCTATACATCTATATACCTATCCATCTATCTACCTATCCATCTACCTACCTATCCATCTATTTACCTATCTATTTATCTACCTATCCATCTATCTACCTATCCATCTCTCTACCTATCCATCTATCTACCTATCCATCTATCTACCTATCCATCCATATCTACATATCCATCTATATTATCAGTATAGTGAACAAACAATTTGTTTTCATTTACTCCAGCTATTCTATATATATATATATATATATATATATATATATATATATATGATTATAAATATGACAAGTGTTGCACGGTGCACGGAGTTATTGCCCATGTTGGCCTTTTCCTGGCGTGAACAGTCGTATGGAAGACAGAACCACCGCATTAAAACCAACACCGCCAGCGGCGATGTGCCACGGTCAATCACCCTGTCGGTGACCACGCCCACTACGACTCCGTCCATGTTAACCTTTCATCCTCCCGTGCCCGTCTGTCTGCCGGCTAGCGAACTAAGCACGATGGTATTGTGAGCAACCTCTTCCTGCGTGTTTTTCCGGTTCCGGTGGCAGAAATTGCGCGCGTCCATGCATACACACGGTCGCAAGTTTTTAAATCGTAGGATGGCGACTGAAGGATAGGACGGTAACTGATGGTGGCGTAGGATGGTGACTGATTAGGGTTAGGGTTAGGGTTAGGGGCAGGGTATTAAAGCACGAATAACTTATCAATCTTCAGTCGCCATCCTACGATTTAAATACTCGCCACCCAGTCAGAGAGTGCGTGAAGGTGTCGACTGCTGTTTGTTTACGTACAATGGTCACGTGGCTCACACGTCAGATTTACTCACGAGCTACGAGACCGGGGTTCTTAAACTCCTCTGCACTTGCGCTTGATCAATTGCTTGTCAATCTAGTAAACGTGTCTGTGATATAATATACCTAGGGGAGGTATATATTGTGTGTGTGTGTTGTTGTCTGTGTGTGTGTGTGGTGTGTCGTTGTGTGTGATGTGTGGCGTCTGTGCGTGCGTGGCGTGGCGTGCGTGCTGCAGTGTGTGTGTGTGTGTGTGTGTGTGTGTGTGGTGTGTGTGTGTGTAACGTGTGTAGCGTGTGTGGTGTGGTGTGTGTGTGTGTGTGTGTGTGTTAGTTGTACGTTGTATGTGTGTGTGTTGTGTGTGTGTGTGTGTGTGTGGTCGTGTGTGTTGTGTGTGTGTGTGTGTGTGGTTGTGTTACCTTTTTAATCTTTATATATATATATATATATATATTCCCTAATATGATCTAACGTTATCTCTTGTTGTGCGTGCGTAGATGCGTAGATGATTGGGTGTGATTGTATGTGTGTGCGTGCGTGCGTGCGTACGTGCGTGCGCTTGTGCGCATGCGTTTTTGATGGTGATGGGTTATGGCTGGCGTAACAATATAATATATAAAGGAGGATTATTAATCACCGCAAATCAACGTCAACTAACTATAGTTCGCCGACCGTGAGAATTCGTCCGTATCGCTATACACATCGTACGAATCGTTACGACTAATACCCGTCCTAATGCTATACATTTCTATATAATTCTATGTGTAGAAAATCCCCCGAATATACGACGTGGAAGATCGTGACACGCGGGCGTGTGAAAGATAGATGAACCAATGAGACGAAAGCGCTGATCATGCGCCTGAGGCGTAGTGAGAGAACGAGTCTATCGTCTGTGCGGCCAACGTGCGTAGCAGACGAAAGCACGCCGACTCTGTCTTAAGACTCACGTGAATCATGTCATGCGCATCATCACATGACACGTGAAAGTGAGTGTGTGATCGTATGCTGTTTGTTCGCGTATGTGCGCACGCGAACGAGCGAGCAAAAGAGAGTGAAAAAGGTGCGCGCGCGAGTGAGAGAGAATATATACTGTATAGAAAGAGAGGGAAAGCGAGAGAGACAGGCGAGAGATACAGGAAAAATAACGAAAGCGCGCGTACGAAAGAGAGAGCGCGCGAGAGAGAGGAAGCGAGAGAGTATTATACATATTTGTATTTCGTCTCGCGCCCTTACGTGTGTAACGGTAGCCAGCGATGTGCGTTTCCGCTTATTAAGCAGCATCTGAACCGTAAGTGACCTCGACCGTGACCCTACCTGTCTACGGAGCCCGAAGTTCGTTAGTAAGGACGGGAGAAACTTGCCAGCCAGCGTGCTCATGGCAAGATCGAGCTCAGCCACGCGTGGTAACTCGTTGGCGGAACATTGCGAGTGACGATCGTGCTGCCATATATTTGGATATTAATACCATATATTGTCCTGCTGATGTTGTTAGCTCGCACGATCTCTACCTCACTTCTGCGGCGGGAAATCGTGTCGAAGCACAGCTGCATGCATGCATGCATACGTCATCTGAGACGGCCATCAGCTCTCGAGTCGTCCTGTCTGCACGCACGCGCCTGATAGTCGATCAGCTGTCGTTTAAAAACGGCCCGCGTCTGCCGGCGCGTGACGTCACGCTAGCGGGCAGCGACACGCGCTGGTGCGGGCGTAGTAGACACGTAACGTGACGACGACGACGACGACGACGACGACGACGGCGGCGGCAGCAGCTAGCCACGATGCGTGTGCCGACGTGCGCCCTCCTGCTGCTGTGCACTCTGCACTGTCGGCACGCACCCAGCGTGCGTGCGCAGACGAGCTTCACGGACACGACGTTCCCGACGTCGACGACGGAGACGTCAGATCTGACGACGGAGCAAATCAGCCATCCGCCGCCGATCAAGATCGTCGAGGAGACGGTGGAGACGGTGACGGTGAACACGGAAGAGGAGGAGACGACCGTCGGAGGAGGTCAGTGTGACGGACAGCTGCCCTACACGGAATCAGACGCCGCATACCTGGAGACGCTGATAGCGATGGACACCACCGATCTGCTGCAGTCGCTCAAGTCACAGCTGATACTGTGTCACAACTACCGCCAGCTGGAGCAGATCTTCTTCGTCATCGATAAGCTGGTGAGTATCGATGACATCAATCGTTGATCTTAGAATCTGCTTCGCCGTGATCGATTTACGCGACCGTTGCGATGATCTCGTCTCTCATCTCGCGGCATTTCGCGTGAATGCAAATATATATCAAGAGTACATAATAGAGATGTACTATTATGTACTATTATGTACTATGTGTACTATTATGTATTATGTACTATTATGTCTCTGTTATGTACTATTGATATATATATATATATATATAGTTTATACTTTCCCTAGCCGTTGCATGGTAGAGCGTTGACCTTCGTGTATTGTGATCACATCTGAGGCAACGTGGTTCTATTGCGCTCCGCTGTTATTGGAATGGCGATAGACTGGTACAGGAATGCTTCTTGCCCCCCACCCTTTACTACTGACCCGAGGGGGCGAGCAGCAAAATAGACAGCACGACGTCGACATCTATTGTCTTTGGCGTCTTTGTAAATGAGCGTGCCCTTCCATCAGCGCAAACGCATAAATACACGACAAACACGGACATACACATCGCACAGGCGCGCACGCACGCACGCACGCACACACGCACGCATACACGCACACGCGCACACACGCGCGCACTCAAACACTCACACGCGCGCATGCACGCATATCCCAACGTAAGCACGCACCATACATACAGGTGCACGCACGCACGCACGCACGCACGCACGCACGCACGACGCACATTCATGCACGCACGCACGCACCCACAAGATATATTATAAGTTCGTCTTTGTTTGACGGGTGCGTGCTGTATAAAATTATCATTCCATACGTGCACATCTATACTATGGATCCCTACGTGTCCTGTTATTATCATATAGCAACTATACTTGGCTAAACGAGTCGCCACGCGATATTTGAGCGTGCGGTATGTTGTCAGTAACGTAAAGTAATCGTGATAAGATAAGTTGTAAGATAAGTTGAAGCGAGTCTGTGCTTCACGGGGGCTGAGGAGACAGAACCTCGGGCGTATACGTCGTACGAACGCGCGTGCTTTGCAGTTGTTCCGGCTGCGAACGCAGACGTTCCACAAGTACATTCTAGTCGAGGGTAGCTGTCAGCGGTTCTTCGGGTGTAAGGACGACCTACGGCAAGGTGTCGGCCGCTCGTTCGGCAATGACGACGACACTCCGACCATTCTCTCCCGCACGATCGATGGCAACCGTGTCGGCGGCAACCCCGGCCAGTCGATTAGAGGTACGTTGCGCTGCGGCCCGTTGTCAGTAACAAAATGAGTCCAAAGAAACCACGACGGCGACACACACACACACACACACACGCACACGCACACGCACACGCACACGCACACGCACACGCACACGCACACGCACACGCACACGCACACGCACACGCACACACACACACACACACTCTCTACACACACACACACACACACACACACACAC